GGGGGGGTGAATGAGATTGAGGAGGGGGCCAGTGAGAGCCTGATCGGGCCCCCCTCCCCCATTTTTATTTCATACCTTTGAAAGATTCCCCGTCAAAAAGGATGTTTTAATTAAGACCTAAGGTGGAGTTCAGGAGGGGTTTTTATTTTGAAGAAAAAGGGAGAGGCTGGGAGTTAGGGATCTAGTGTTTAAGTATTCCTTTCTCCTTTGGTATTTCATTATTATTACCAAAGTATTTGGGGGTTTTTTGGGGATGGGGGGATAGATTGTTCCCAAAATCAAAATGCCACTGTGGAGGTGTAGCGAGGGGGGAACTACCTTCTCTCAGCATACCTTTGGTATAGTATCCACATTTGGGATATGTGATGTTGCAGGAATGGATACAGTGAAGCCGATTTGAGCTCCTTTTTTAAAATTTACAAAGGCCTTTTTAAAAACTGGAGACTGCCACAAGGTAATCGATGCCCATTAAAGATCGGGGAGGGTTTGATGGAAAACGTTTGTGTGTGTCTGTCTGAAATCTGATATTGTGGCGCTTCCAAGGTTGCAGTAGTCGGTGGCTGGAAAAAAAATTCAGTATTTTTCGTTTTGTTTTTTTAGTTCTTGGTATTTCACACAAACCAAAAAATGCTGGGAAATATCCCAACCTAGAGGGTGGGGGGAGGTGTGGCAGGTGTTATATAGTGATGTAAGGCAATTTGGAGAGGAATGCTCAGGAAAGCTGCTGTAATGCCCAGGAGATAGGGATTCTCTGTTTTTTTGGGGGGAGAAGATGCCCTAAATCAAGGCAACGTTAACATAGTCACGAAGCTAGACTCATGCTAATTGTGAGATGCTGAGGCATGCATTTTTTAAAAAGAACTCTCCTTTTTACTGCATCTCAAGTTACAAAATCAAAACCACCTTCTGTTGTGTGTGTTGTTGTTTTTTTTAAGCAGGGATATCTATGGTACGTGCAAATCTGGACATGTTGGGCTTATAATTGCCCGCACTGAGGTGGGTTTTTTGGACAAATCCCAGTCCCTAGAACAGTGCCTCTGGTAGAGGAGAGAAATACCTCTCTCTTTGAGGGTCATACTGAAATAAAGGGTGTGCCTTTGGGAAAGGGGAGAGAAGAGTTGGCGAATGTGAAGCCAGGGTGTCTCTTTTACAGCACTTTAAACAGAAAATCAATTGTGGGGGACGTGGAGAGTCCCCATGTCGAGGGTTGGTAAATATTAACGGGCTCCCGAAATCTAGGGCTCTCGGGGCAATACGTGCTGGGTTTTTCTTTTTCTTTTTCTTTTTAATGGCAACAGCCTGAATTAATTTAGCATAAAGACAGAGTTCGAATTTCCCAGCATTGTGGCGGGTGGGGTTGGGTGAGGGAGTATACTCACAGAATCAGGAGCTAATATGGCTCCCTTTTTTATTTCAGAGCCCCGGGGTCTCTGATTTGGGGTGGTGTCTGAATTCCAAGGCTGTATGTGTGCCGTGGCGGGCAAGGGGCGTTGGTTTGGACTCTTCTCTCCTCCCCCCCCCCCCCCCCCCAGTCACCTGAAGGCACACCATAAAATATTGGATAACAGGGAGAGCCGAGTCAGCTTTGATGAGGCTCATAACTGGAGCCTTGTCAGGTTTACTGAGCACACGAAGGTGGAGTGATTTCGGTCCTCGGCTCGAGATGGGGATTGCCAAATCCACCCCCTTGCTTTTCAGGGGGGGAAAATGGATTTCTGTCTCCGCTCGCATCTTCTGCCCCAAACGTCAAGCACTTCTGCATGCCAGTTCAAACCAGGGCTGATTTGGTTGTGAGGATGACTGCGGGATGCCCATCCGTTCTCTCTCCCCTCATTCTTCCATCATCCTGGATTTCCATTTTTAAGTGTTCATTTTGTGAGCGTGTAGCAGATGAGGTGGTGGCAGTTTGTTTCGTTGCTTCTCTCAAACACACACACACCCCTTCCAGAAGATCATCCTGCCCTTCTTTTCAGAGTGATGGAATTCGGGGGCTTTGTTTTCTTTTTTCTTTTTCCATTAGAATGCCTGCTGGTGTCAGATCTTTGTGGGGTGAGGGAGGGGTAGTCACCTATAAAGACTGGTTTCTCTTGTGAAGCTGGCTTCCCAAAGAGGGGAGTGTCTTCTCTGTGACTTTAAAGCCTGCTTGTCTAATGCAGCTCTGAGATTCTGCAGATAAATCGGAGATATTAATAATTAATGGTTGCTGATTCAGTATTGGGGTGGCATTGAAATGAGGAGGGGGTCTGCAGTTTTCCTCTCGGCAGCCTTAAAAGGGGGGGTGGATCAGCAAATTTAATCGTTTGCATTATTAAACGTACTGATTTTGGAACTCACAAAGTGTGTGGATTTATAATAAATCGACAGTGCTGAGGAAACGGTATGCCATCGAGGCAGGATAGAATGGAAGAATGTGTATTCCTGAAGACTGCATCAGTAATGGATTAAAAAATATTAGCTGCTGCTGGGAGAAGGAAGTGCTATTTTTAAAACCGGTATTGGCTTGTGTTTTGCTCAGGTGCCGTTCTAGCTGGTTGTGCAGTGCTGGGGGAATTGGGCATCTTTGCTGCGTGTTACATAGCAAAAATTACAAAGAGGGCTGTTAGTGTCCAGTTTAGCCATGCTTTCCCAAAGTACCTAGGTAGCTATAACTCGCCAGCTTTTAATAAGGAAAAATAGCACAGACATGCAACAAATATGTGGTTAAAATGCTTTTTTCATGGTCAAAGCATGACTGCAACCGTTTCCAGGATTTAAGAACAGAAGAGGAGCCATGTTGGATCAGGCCAGTGGCCCATCCAGTCCAACACTCTGTGTCACACAGTGGCCAGAAACCAGGTGCCATCAGGAGGTCCACCAGTGGGGCCAGATTTATTATTTAATTCATTGATACTCCACCTTTCTTCCCAATGGACCCCAAGGCGGCTTGCGTCGTTCTCTGTTAAGGATGGGGTTCTCCTTAATGAAAGTGCTAGATGCATTGCATTTTTGAGGTAACACGATCATACCACTTTATATTTATGTCTACTGCGTTTTAGTGGATGTAAGCGATTCATAAATACAGTTGCCTGGGTGTAGGTAAGGGAGCAGTCAAGGGGATTCTGTGCATCTTATGCAGGCCTGTTCCAGCTGTGCTAAGGTAATGGATGACTGGCTGTTCACGAGGGGGGTGCTGGAGGCTGGCGCTTTTCTCCTGAACAACGGATCAGCACTGTCGCTGGTGGTTTGACTGGGCTGTGGAAGCACAGACGAATCAGGACCCCCGTGCTGAGTTTATTTTATTCTATGTATTATTGTACCTCTCATCCTCGGTGATTCTGTAGAGTAACAGCTACTTAGATGCTACTGATCTGGTCGAACTTCTTTTCAGTTCCAGTGTTCCATATTCTGAAGGAGTCTTGCGTTTCTTATATTCTCTAAATCAAGTGGTGGGGGTTGTAGAGAGAGAGGTTTCAGCATCGCCTTCAGTTTGCAGGAATATTTATGAGTGAACAAGATCTTATATAGTTCGTAGAGTAACAGTAATTATGAGTAGTGCTTTCTATGGTGGTATGCCGATACCACAAAAACCTCTAGATTCTTTATTCTAATAAGATTTTGCAGATAAGCTTGTAATTAAGTATAATTGTGAGTTAGATGTTGGAGGCCCCAACTGTGACATGTGTCTAATAATGGAGGATTAACTGCAGCTGGAATTTTAAATATATTCCTTTCAGTCTCAGCTGACACCAAAGGTTTCAAAGGTTCAGTAGGTCTCCCCTGCCCACTCCTCTTCCCTCTCCCCAAAATCCTTCCCTTCGTTCTAAGAATTGGAGCCTGACCAGAGCTGTGTGGTTTTCTACATCGTTATAAATATATTCTCACCTCTGTAAAAACGAATGCCATGAATCTTGGATGCCTAGCGAAGTTTCACCGGAAGCGAGCCAACTTCCTGACTTTTGCTCTTCCACAAAGTGGTTTTTGTAGATCACCTTTCAGGGGATGCTCTTGGTACTGATGTGACCTGCCGTGTCCACACCTGCTGCTAGGTTCCGGGGGGGGGGGGGGTTCAGAGGTAATGCTTGCTCAGAAGTGTGGAGGCAAGTGAAGCCTGGCCAAGCGCTGGGCGCCTTTAGCCCATGCCGCCACACAGGTGGAATGAAGGCCCCTTTCATACAATGGGAGCTGCTTTAGCAGAGAGGTGTGTGTGTTTGTGATTGCCCCTCCCCCCCCAAATCTGGTTGCAGCAATCTTCATTTCCCAAGGAACTGGTATTGGGGGGGGGGGGGCTACTGTATGGGAAAGACCAGTGTGATTGTGCTGTGGGCCTGTGATCTCATCACACTGAAGGGGCTTCTGTGCTGCAGGGTGTGTATAGGAAGGGTGTC